GGGGGGTTGGGCACTTGGGGGGTGAATGGAGGGAGGTGAGCAGGGGGGCAAATGGGGGCAACCCTTTGGGTGAGAGGAGGGGGAGAGAAGGGGGTGAGTGGGTGAGTGAGCAAAGTGGCAGGCAAGCGGGCGAGCAAGCAAACAAGCAGGGTCAGGCAATGACACGCATGCCTGGAGAGAGGGTGCTGCTTCCCCCTTCTGACACACATGCCATAGGTTTGCCACCACTGGTCTAGAGCACTGGATATTCAGTATGCTATCTGATTAGATACATTTACTTAGGAGAATGCCGGAAACTGAAGTGAAATGTTAAGTCAATGCAACTGAATCCGTACCCATCCATACCCATCTCACTCATCCTCTCCTGTCTAGGCAGAAGATTTCACTACTGAAACTAAACAAGTCTAGCTCCATAAGCTGCCAAGATGGGAGACCATTTGATAACCATAGGTGTAAATAAATATATGGATATACATAAGGAATGTAAACAATAGTTACGGGTATAAGAAATAAATCTTTCCCTCTGTTTTCTGGCTTATTACTTTATATTTTAACCTGTCTTCTCTCATTAGGGTTTCCCTTCACAACCTAGCTATAGGTAGTCAACTCCTTGGGATGGGGACATGATGCAAATATTATGAATGTATATTCAATCCACGTATATTCAATGCTGGCTCTGCTTACTCCTTCCCCAGTTTCATTGCTCTACTAATGTGGAGAGTAGACTATTGCGAAGGACTCCCCAAAATCAAGGATTCCAAATGCATGGACAGTATACATATGTAAGAGAAGCTTTCATTGTGTAAACATGCAACTCTCCATATGAGGAGAGCCACAGAAATGGAAATAATAGGAGGGAAACCTCGTATACTCCTGTTCTCATGATTCAACGCATTGTCAGATCAATAAGAAGTGATATTATTATATTTGTCATTTGATATTAGTTGTAGTCAGAAGGTTGGAAGAACATTGAGCAACTGGTGTAGAATATTGAGTGAAGTGAATTTGTGCATGGATAGTGATTGATTGATTGATTGATTGATTGAGGAAGTGACAGTAGGAGGTACTGTGAAGCTTGTATAGGAATAGAATTTGGAAAAAGTCAGACTGGATGGGAAAATGGCTTTCGAGAAATGAGAGAAAGGGGCTGCGGTGACAAATGGGTGGTTCATTAAGAGATTTGTGTGTTCATTATGGTGTACCTACAAGTCATTTCTGACGCATAGTCAACCTATCTAAGACTAAAATGGTGTGACTTGCCTAAGGTCACCCAGTGGTTTTTCATGGCCAAGCAAGGATTCAAACACTGTTCTCCAGAGCTATAGATCAGCACTCAAACTACTATGTCACACTAGATCCAGTTTGTCAGCCGTGCTCTAAAACGTTTAAACCCTACATTATAAGTTCCTATGTTATGAACAATAAAACGTTCTTCCTTAGCAAGTGACAAACCTTCTATATTAATAGACATAATCATTAACAATGGAGGGGGGAAAGTGGAGTGGGTAGATCAAAAAACAACCTGGCAAAATGACACTACCTAAAAGAATCCCCAACCTTGTGTGACTGTGGAATGGAACAGACAACTCCGCATCTGTATACTTGTCCACTATGCCCTGCCTCATATACAGAGGATGAATTGTTGGAGGCTACAGACAATGTTGTTGCTGTTGCTGTTTTTGGTCAAAAGATATTTAGCCACTTCTGCTCCTTCTATTTTTATCTGTTTTATACTAATTTAAGCAACGCTTTTGATACGAAATTAAGAAAAACAATAAAAAGTGAAATAACATCCATATAACACCTTGAATCGTGTATTTGTTGTCTTTATTGTTTAATAGTATCTACGGTCACCAATCATTGTTACTAATGATGTGGCAAAGTAGAACCCATGAGCAAGAAAGAATCGTCTGGTTGGAAGTAGGTCCAGTAAGGACCCTGGCAGAATCAATACTCTTAGGTACATATCTATTTTTATGTTATTTCACACAGAGAGGAGGAAGGGGAGAAAGGGAACGGTGAGTTTCACAATGTCTGAACCATAAAATGAAGACAAGACAGCGGCAGGCCTGTTTTGGAGTCCAGAGAACATGTCACTGTATGATTTGAAGTATTTTCTCTTAATAACTCCAGAAATGGCACAATAATATTAAAGTCAACTGAAACGTGATATAAGAAATAAAGGTATGGACGGCAGCATTTCAATATGTACTGGATGAATTCATCTGAACATATTTCCAGCTAAATCTGCTCAGAAATATATTTTTAAAAAAAACACTTAGTATCAGTCCTAAACCTCCCAAACAGGCTTCAAATTAATATCACGGTTTTGAAGAAACTTTCCTATTTCTGAGGAGTAATTTTGTAGTTGCTTTTAAAAAGATTTATGAATAGCACAAAACACATTATTCTTCTGTCCACCTCATCATCATCATCATCATACCCATAATAAAGCACAAAGTCAGAGAATGAAGAACAACGTAAGTCACAACTAGAACCAGGTGAAATTCCTTCCTAGTAAAAGTCGTGTTATCTCTTACTAAGTTTAAATCCAAAGGTAAAGCATGTATACCTTAATTTGAAGGGAATGGACTAACTACATGTAACTAGTTGTTTGTCACTAGCTACTTGTGATGTGATTCGCATCAGGATGAAGACCTTGTAACAGTATAATTAGTAGCATAAACGCTAATGACTGCCCAAGTAGATTCATTGTTTCTGCACAACGTAACATATACACACATTCTTTAATGGAAAAAAACTCGTTCTGACAGCCTATAGCAAATGCCAGAAATATTTGGAGTTCTGCCATCGCTACCATATTGACATCAATGGGACTAAATTGGCTTAAGTCCATGCACTTTCTGTTAATTAGGTTGTAGGTCAAGCTGTTTTCCCCTTTCTCAGTTGTAGCCAAACATTTTTCATAAATGTGTGCGCAGTACGCTAAAGTACTACAGCTTTATTTAGCTAGACACCTTGGAAACATTTATTTGGCCACAGTCCCATAGTTCGTAGCATTCGGTTTACAACATTATGAGCATAATTCATGTATCTGTACCAAAGTATATTAAAATACTCTAACTCTGAGAAGTGCACATATTAGTTGTTGTTCCAATATCAGCCTAGTGCTTGTGGTTTCATTCTGTTTAGAAAACAGAAATTGGCTGTCAATGCTTTGAATGGCACCACGGTGAACAGTTACCGCACCCACCTTCCAAAATTCATGTAAACCAAATGATCTTATTGAAATTTATGTGATGCAAATGCACCCGCCGTTCTTCTTATTAATAAAGTATTCAAAGTTCTATATTTCCAGTAAAAAATGCACAATTCAACTAACAATACGGTACACAAAAACACTACCATATTTTTATACACAGGTCTTTTCTCTTTCTTTGTCTAATCAATTTATATTTCTCTTACTCTATTTAAAACAATTTTACAAAGTGAGAAAATTGTTAAATATTTAGTGATCATTTCAAATATATTTGGATAAATTTGAATTTGGCAACTCTTTATACATATCTCTCTGTAATTGCATTATGGAAAATTCAAATGAAATTTCATGGAAGCTATCTTCAGGGTTACTGGTTTTTTATATATACTGATGTATTTGTCTTCTGCTAGGGAAACAGATTTTATGTAGTTTAAACTACAAAATTTGAAATGTCATGGTGCAAACTGGTACAAAATACTACAAGCAAAATATGAAGAAAAGTTGTATGATACACAGGAGAGAATCTTCAGGACCAGCTCGAAATGTTTATATTTGTTTTATGTCTATTTTATCTGCTGAAAAGAGACTAGGACATACATCAGACTTATTAGTAGTGTCTGCTAGGCTTGACGTCAACTGTAAACTGAGGCCCCTTCCACACAGCCATACGAAATCCCACATTTTCTGCTTTGAACTGGAATATATGACAGTGTAGACTCAAATAACCCAGTACAAAGCAGATATTGTGGGATTTTCTGCCTTGATATTATGGGTTATATGGCTGTGTGGAAGGGCTCTAAAAGCGCACACCAAAACCTACTAGGATTCTAGGATTGGATTACGATAGAGTTGGTTGGTCTAGATTAGAATACGAGTCCAGATTTTAAACCACACTCCACCCTTAATGCAAACACCAATGGGGATTCATACAGAACTCAACTCATTCACAAAAACTGTTTGCGACGCCAAAATGGGCTTAAGTAGAATTACCATGGACAAGCCAAAATATTTTTCAACTTTCCCATCCATTATATACTTTTATTATGGTGCGGTCAATTACACTAATGCACAATGGAACAGTGATTGCTTTTGGAGGGGGGAAATGTAATAAGACTATTTTTGTAAAAATAACCATCCAGGTACCCAACAAGTATAAATGGCAAAACTTTCATAATACGCAATCTGGCTGTCTTTGTAAGCAAGTGTTTTGCAAAATTCTGCATAACATTTCATAGCCACATTGCATGGTTCAACTAACTGTAGAACACACACATGGTATTCAAAGATTCTACTATCCTTCATTTTGCAAGCAGATTCATTAATTGTTTGTGTTGCTTCATTTTCAGTAAAACAAAAATAGTGCTAAAAGATCCACCTAAAGCACTTGCTCTTTGTCCTAGACTACCTTCTACATTTCTCAGTCCACCTTCTAGGTTCACGCTATTAGACATTTCAGTTTTCAGTGTTGTTCTTAATATTCAAATTTCAGAGTATTGTGGTCTATGAGCGTAGAAGAAAGGAATTTCAGGACACACACTATGATGGTGCTATGGGGGGAAATGTATATTGCTAACGCATTTTACCACTCAAGGGAGTCTCTTTGTCCTATGTTCCATGTACCAAATGTTGTGTGAAAAATAAACCACAAAAATGGCCAAGTATGCATTCTGCAGACATGAACAAACATGTTGAGAATAACAACAGTTCTGTTCTGTTTTCAGGTTATGATAGCAAACATTGTCCCAAACCATTTCTTTTGTAATGCCTGGAAGATCCTTACCTGTTAATGGAGCTGACGCTGGGCACCGTGTCATTATCACATACTCGTTCTGCGAGGAGCCTGTCCCTGATTTCCCAGGCAAACATGGTGGGGTTTTGGCGTTTATATTCTGCTATTTTGTCTACTACTTTGGGTGTGGCGACCTTTGGTTTTGAGCCCCCAATAACTCCTGGCTTAATGCTTCCAGTCTCATAATACCTAAGAGAAAAATTCAAGACAGAAAACAATGATAATTTATTCACAAAAAAATCATTTTCTCTTAATATAATCAATATTTATTATAATCATGTAGACCCACATAAAATTAGAAGACATCAAGAATAAATTATATTTCAGAGACTTCATCTGGAGAGATTTTAACACAATTCTTCCAATACAATAAAAATAAAAATGAAATATTTTAAAGTATTGTTATTTTCCATTTAGTCTGGATTTGTGCCCTAATTTTTTTTTAATTTGCTAATATAATAATAATAATAATAATAATAATAAGTGTGCCTTTTCCCTCATAGTAACAAGGCAATAAAAAAGACAACCAAGAATTTTAAAAATAACTGAAAAATGTATATTATTAATCAGTGGTAACGAAAATAATTTTAAACAATGAATACAAACCATTTTTATGGTTCTTATGTTTATAAGAAATTAGGCTTACTGTAGCTTTTGACATCAGCAATAATGGCATATTATGGAAAAATAAATTCAGTCAAAACAAATGCATCATTTTTAATCATTTCTTGCATTTTTTCCCCACTTCTAATTGTGAAATGCAAAATGGAAATACATTTTAACAAATAATATTTTCAGGGCAGGAAGAACATGCCAATTATTTCCTTGGTTTTGGACTCATCCCTTCACCACTGAATTATCAATCAGCTGTGCTTTGCAGACCATTCTTTTCTATAAGAAATTACAATTGCAAAGTGTAGCAAAATTGCGACCAGAATCTATCAAGCACTTTTTTCCACACAGGCACCAATACAATTAATGAGGTTGCATTAGAATAATATCTGGCCGTATGCACCCTTTGAGTCAGCTGTTGTAAACTGTGCCTAGCACGGTAGCAAACCAGTGGCAGTTCAACAAAGAGATCCAACAAGGAAAATCCAGTTGTTTGTGTCTATTGCTATATATTAGTAATCAAAACACTTCTATCCAGTATTATCATAGTTCTATACTGTCCATCCCCATCCCCCACCCTCCACCCCAATGCAGCCAGATACACATCCATGTAGTATTGCAATAATGTGAATTTATATTTTGGTTCCCATGTGAGCAGGACACAACTGAGTTTTGGACAGAGCATTTAACTGTGCTCCAATGTCCATGATGTTCATGAGATTGTATTTAAAAACAACAAAACACTGAAATTTGTGTCTGTTTGCTTTCCTCCTCTGGACACTTTGTTGTCTTGGCCTTACATTCTTTGTTAAGTGGAATGGCAAAACACAGAAATTAGATTCAGAGACTGTTAAACTGAAGTTGGATTTTGCTGTTGATTTCAGTGAGATGTATTTTACTCATACTTCCAATTTTTATGATATCGCCATAGAATGTTTAAAGAAATGATTTGTTCTTGATGTCTGGCTTGCTTGAGAAATATTAGTGATGCGGTTAATCAGGGTTTGTTGTGACTCAACATTTCCTATTATATAGCCTAATCTAACTATAATGTTTAGGTATATATACAATGATTATAATTAAAAAAAACACTTAATCATGCATATTTTACATCAAAAGCATGCATATGGTCATTTAAATGACTTCACGGAATTATTTTCCTCTTTTTAATTGAGCCTATTTAATCTTAGGTTAATTGATAATAATTAAAAAAAACTTCCATTCAAACCGTTGTCTTGCCAGTTAGCGGAACTGGATTGGATTCAGCATTAGTGACTATGCTAACAACAAAGTCTATATAAATACTGTACCTCATTGTTAACTTCACAGTATTTACCCAAAATATTTATGTATTTTATTGTTTGTCCATTTTCTCCCAACGCATTCCTCAAAGTGATATACATTTTTTAAATGTAGTTTTTAAAGGGGAAATTATGGATGTGGTGCCTATTTTTTATATTCTTTATCCCTCAATAACTGGTTGCTGTATTATGTTTATTGATATTGGCCATGCAGCGAGGTGGGAGAACTCACTAACCATCCCTAGCAGTTATATTGTGTTTTAGGGATCTCGGTGCATGTCACATGCCTTACCATGTTGCACTTCTTACAACAACCCTGTAGATGGGTCAATGTTGTTATTACGATATTACAAAAGGAAGGCAAAGAATTGAGAATGAGACAGTACAGCTTTCCTTAAGGCACACAATACAATCATCACAAAATTGAGACTTAATCCAGAGACCTACTGGTTAATGGTTCATTGTTTAGGCCATTGTCCAATGCTATACAATTCTGTAAGATGGTAGGAGTTAAGTGATTTGGAGAGCATTATATATACATATTTCTAGTAAGTTAAAATGCCATATTTTAAGCAGGATTTCACATTAGATTCATTACTAGTCCCCTACAGAATAAGTGGGTCTGATTCCAATGGTCTAGAATTATTGAACAACACCCAAAACAGCATAATTATTTTTCCTGAGACAATGATGGATAAATTTCCAAATTTTCACCAGAGCATACAACACCTAATCATTTCTTTTGTGTTACCAACAGCAACCATAAAATAAGTGTTGCACATTCGTAATTTAACATACATTGTAAGAGACTACTGTTCCCAGAATGCAATGTCCAATACTGAACACTCCAAATTTAGGCCTATAGTCTGAGCAAGACGGATATACAATCTTCTTTTGTGACTCTTAATACATTGCCAACACAGCTGGATAATAGTTATATCTGCAAGTGGCATCAGCTACACATCCATGACTGAGGTGACCTGGCACCGAACTGTTATCCAAGGAAATCAATTTTGAGTGTGTTTGCCTTTGAATGGTTTACAGCTATTATTTATTTTATGTCAAGGTTTAATCTGGATAGCACAAATGAAGTGATTCTGTAGAATCAAGTTTCTTCGTATGTGACTCCTCTCTTTGATTTTTTTTTACTTCCGATATTTTTGGACACACAGAAAGAGAGCATGTAAGAGCAAGACACGGAGAGAGAGAGAGAGAGAGCACACTCTCCAATTACAGTGACATTTTACCAACTGTAATTATTAGTTATGAAAATAATGAGCTATGAAATTCCAATTTATTGTTGACAACTTAAATGACAAAGCTCTGGAACTCAATTCTTAGCTCCCTAGTAATGCAAACACATCTAGTGACAAATCTATTCGGAAAAAGTAACACTCTGAGATGTTCTCTCTGGTAGGTAAACGAGTTGGCTGCTTATGAGTTTAATTAGTAACTTTTCAGAGTGACTGTGAGCAGGGAAGAAAAGAGAAGGTAGAATGTCACACGACTGACCCTAACTAGAAATAAACAGCACATAGACACAATTCCATAAATCGTATAAAATAGGTGGCAACAAAAATAAAATGTGAAAAAGTACTAATTATACAATTCCAATTGTATTCATATTTATGACCGTTTTCCTTGTGTTTGCTATCTACCTTTATTATGAAAAATTAGACATTTCATTCCTGAGGTTTTAGAATGGTCAGAGTCACCTGACCACCTCCAGAGTGAATGGACATTTGAACGGGAGTGTGCTGCCTTGTTTTTCACACATCACAAGATCAAAACACTAGCAATTCAATTTAATACCCTTAAATTGAATAGATGGCCTTGTCTACAATCTGTTATTGGCTCTCAGGATTTCGCGAGGAACAGAGAGATGAAACACATTCACAAAAACAGCTCACAGTGAAGAATAGTCCGCTTCACTGAGAATATGCTTCTATTTTAATAATCAAGGCATTTGTAATCATAGCCAATGGACTTTATATAATGTGATTTCCTTATAAAAGAAATTGTAGTTTAGCAAAAATTGCTTTCATGGTTCTGTTCTAATGGGTGTGAAATTTCAAAGTTTCTAAGGACGTCGTCGACATTCAAAACAAGCGACTGGTCTTTAAAATAGGATTACGCACCGTTTTGAAAAGTCAACAGACCTACACAAGACATAGTCCGAGCGGTAAAATTTTAAATATTTATATCCTCTTAAAAATTGTGGCACAAATGTAACCGTTCTGTCCTATGACAGAACTAAGAAATAAATCCGACTGTGTCCAATGGGATTTACTTCTCAGCAAAACGCTAATCTTTTCTAAGTTACAATGGAAAGAGAAAACAAAAAAAAGCCTATTCAGATTTTTCCAGAGATGCTTTTGGAGCAGGGAAAGAAAAGGTAAGAAGGAATCCTGGGATGCCTCGAAAACAAACAGATTTATTATGGCATCATCTTTCTATATGGATGGGAATCCATCAGAAGTACAGCAGGTTAACACATTCTACATTTAGAAAAGCTAATTGCTTACAATTGTGACATATCAACTCGTATTATTTTAACATACGTGATCTGTTTGTTTAGACTGGGGGGGGGGCTTGAAACATTATAATACCACTAAATAGTCTTAAACATGATGCACTTATAATTATACAATTCCTTGACCTAAGTCAAGTTGTACTGTGCAGTCTGAAATTATCTTCTTCATTATTTAAAGGTATTTGTTTATTTATTTACCCCCTTGCTACATTGATTGGTGCACCTCTGCACTGTGGCTCATATAAGAGACACACAACATCCAATGTTTTGTCCTCAAGAATCAAAGTGATTCACGTTGATACACACAAAGCAGAGAAACAGAATTATTCATCATTGCTGTAATCTGAATTTTCTACTTGGAAATTAATTTCATTTACATGGGTTTTTTTACAAACATCAGGATAAACTCTACAGTCGTCATCTAATGCAGAGTTAAGTATGCTTGATTTCGGTGTTCTTTAAAAGGCTAAATTCTTTTGAGTGTATCTGTACAATTCATAGCGTAACTACTAAAGCAGAATATTTCTCAGATTTACCAAAACACACTGGGCTTACATCTGAGTAGGATTGCAATGTTAGAAGCCACGGGACTCCTTGTATTTAATGAATGGTTTATTATACCAGCCATAGGCCATGACATCAAATAATATACAACCTTTAAAAATGCAGTAAGCCCTTTCCAATATAAAAATTCAAACTTATTCTATAAATTACAGTAGCAGTGACATGATAACAATAACAAATGTCTGATTTGTATCATCCCAAACTATCTCCATTTCCATTTCTAGACTCCGCTGTGGACTTTACTAATTTGTTTTGTATTTAATGTTGTTTTGTTTTTTACTATTCCAGAGGACTCATTGATTTTTCAGCTATAATTCAGTGGGAAGTATATAATGCACATCACTAAATGTCATTTATTTTCAGGTTTATATTTATATAACATTTCCTAGCTTTGAGGAGCCAAGTATTCCCATGTTCCAAGAATTCTGCCCTGTCACCCGCTGAACTGTTTCTTGTAACAGGCTCATATAAGAGACACACAGTATCCGATATTTTCCCTTCAAGGATCAAAGTGATTCACTGATCTGTTTTTACCTGCCGAGGATTTTGCTGACGCAACCATGGCTGACCCGTAGTTGCCTGGAAATGTCGCAGGGTCTCACGCCTTGATGAGCAAGTTCCACAATCCTTTGGCGGACTACGTCAGGGAGCGGCCGGCCATTCACAAAAACACCCCCTAACTGATTCACTCCTCCATGTCCTGAAACATATGGGGGAAAACAAAAACAAAACAAAAACAAGCAGAGAAAAAAACATCTTTGTGACTAGTGAGCACATGCTGAGACACGGCCTTGTTTTGCTTGGGGTCTCTCTAGTCTCTACCATTGAGCAACTTCTTGGCAAGAGTTTTCGGCATTTCTAAAATATGCTGACTATGGTTTATTTACTCAAAGGAGGAGAAGCTATGTTATTTACCAAGATCTAATTTGACACTGATACCAATTTGACACTTGTGTAACTCTAATTACTTCAGTAATTGCCCAGGATAAAGTGGCATGAGAATCAGGCCACTGGTTTGGAAAACTATCTCTAAAAAGTTCTTTTTAGGCCAGCCCCAAAATCATCTGGTAATGAAAAAAATGTGAATGAGGACCATATAGTGTAAAGAGTAGTTTTAAAGGGCTTTAGCACTCCTAGCTAAAATTAGGGAGAAGGTCCATCCATGTAAATGTGTACATGATCAGGATGCTTCCTTAATGTATTTGGAAAATAATGGAAAGACCATTTGCTCTTTCAGAAAACAAGACTAAATGTAACACATTTGATCTGAGTACAGGAAGTGCCAATGAATTCAGTTGTTGGTTCAAAATCACAATTTAATTACGAATTTCTGCACAAATATATTTCTTATACAGATAGACAGATTGATGTGGGTGAGTGGATGTAAATATGGAGTAATTTCTAATTTTTGTAGTCTACAGCAACATGCAAAATTTTCAAAGCCAACAAGTCCTTCCACACAGCCATATAACCCAGAATATTAAAGTGAAAAATCCCAATATATAAGCATTAACCTGGGTTATCCACACTGCCATATATTCCAGTTCAAAGCAGAAAACGTGGGATTTTATTCAGCTGTGTGGAAGGGGCCTGAGAGACACTTGGGATGCTGTAATGTCGAAGGCTTTCATGGCTGGAATCACTGGGTTGTTGTAGGTTTTTTTGGGCTATATGGCCATGGTCTAGAGGCATTCTCTCCTGACATTTCGCCTGCATCTACGGCAAGCATCCTCACTACCCCTGAGGATGCTTGCCATAGATGCAGGTGAAACGTCAGGAGAGAATGCCTCTAGACCATGGCCATATAGCCCGAAAAAACCTACAACAACCCACTTGGGACACTGTTCTTTCTGTGTATGAATTTTCGCTGTTCTCTTTTAGCAAGATGAAACATCTGCCTAGGTTGAATTGGTTTGCACTAGATGAATAGTGACTAACTAGCTAAAATCAATGCGCACAAAATCACTAACTGAGAAAATATAATTAACCCTAAAATTGTTAATCAAGCAAATGACTTAAAGCAGAGAAGTGTAAGTACAGAAAACAAATAATTTCAAATAATCAGTCTCGTTGCGAAGAACTGAACAAAAGTAATAATAGTCTAATATTTCTGTTTACAGAGGGCGTGAACTGTCCAAAATGAGTGATGAGCCAAAGTGTGTCTATATCGAATTAATAGCTAGGTGTATAAACCATTTTTAATTTAATTCCAATACTTTTACCATAGGTAAATTGCTGTCAGACTTGGCATATCTCTCCTAAAACTGTTGGAAGTAACATCAAATCACTTAAACTCCTTGACAGTTTGAGTCAGCAAAGACTAGCATCTTCATGAAGTTCCTTGGGTTTTTTTAAGCCTTTCCTTTTTTTTCAGCTGACTAGCTGTAACTAAATAATGTTTTGCTCTCAAAGTGTGTGTGTTTGTATTTAAATTAGTGCTGCCTTCCTTTTGAGCTTGAAACTGGACCAGGCTGGCTAAATGGATGGATTGAAGGAGTGTGTAAAGGATCATACCTAATAGTAGGATGGAGAAACAGAGTTTTCTGAAAGTGTTTCATGTGTAACTGCAAACCCTCCAAGACAATAAATTACATTGCAAAGTCAAAGGCCCCTTCCACACAGCTATATAACCTAGAATATCAAGGCAGAAAACCCCACAATATCTGCTTTGAATTGGGTTATCTGAATCTACACTGCAATACATACATACATACATACATACATACATACATACATACATACATAAATTCCAGCTCAAAGAAGAAAATGTGGAATTTTATTCAGCTGTGTGGAAGAGGACAAAGTTAGACAAAGCGGCTGTATGCCCTTATGTCTTGCTTAGGGCACTTCCACACAGCCATTTAATCCAGAAAATCCCACAATATCTGCTTTGTGTCCACACTGCCATATATTCCAGCTCAAAGCAGAAAATGTGGGAATTTGTTCTGCTGTGTGGAAAGGGTCTTAGCTATATGAAATCTCTCTTGTTTCTGCTGCAGGAAGCAGAAAGAGTGGCTGAAGAGTCATATCTAGAGTCTGGAGTCCCTTCCCTGCAGCTGAATAAAATCTGCTTTGAATTGGAATATATGGCAGTGTGGACTCTGATATCTCAGTTCAAAGCAGATATTGAAGTTATGCAGTCCTAGAGTTCCAGCTCCCTGGCTGAGACTCATATAAACTATACAATGCATATGAAACCAAGCTGAACTTCACAATATTGAGCTGCTTGGACTAGTTATGAAGGAACTAGCCTAGCCAGCAGGAGCCAACGAAGTTCAAGCAGGACATGATGACTGTCATTAACAGAAATGTGTAAGATTGATCAATAGGTGAGAGTGAGCGGTGGAAAGGTGGATATAACTTGTAACCGGAAAGGGAAGGAACTGATTTTGACAACAAAGTCCATTATTCCTAGGCACTCTCACTCAGATATTTGCACAGAACCCTAATAGCTGCAACCATAATACACTGGCTCAAGGTATAAGGAAAATAAGTAAACAGTGGGTTCCTGTGCCATCTGTATAACAGTTAGGGGTATTTACTTGAATTTGGATTGAGGATCATTCAAGGTGGGTTGAGGTTTAAGCAGAGGAGGAGGAAATGAACCAGCATTAGGCTAGTAGCCAGTCTAATCAGGAAGAACTGGGTAAGCCAATGCTTTAAGAAAACTCCACACAGGCCTGTATCCCAGAATATCAAGACAGAAAATCCCACACTATCCGAGTGTGGACTCAGGGCCCTTCCACACAGCCATATAACCCAGAATATCAAGGCTGAAAATACCACAACTGGGTCATCTGAGTCCACACTGCCATATATCCCAGTTCAAAGCCAGAAATGTGGGATTTGATTCAGCTGTGTGGAAGGGGCCTCAGATAACCCAGTTCAAAGCAGATATTGTGGGATTTTCTGCCTTGATACTCTGAAATATAGGGCTGTGTGTGGAAGGACCCAAAGTGTACACAACCAGGGAATCCGGAGATGCTTTTTCCCCTCCAGAAAAATGACTGTTTTACTCTGTCTCAGAACCAACAGCTTGGGGGGGGGGGGGGGTTCTCCCTCAGGAAGAGACTCTGGTGCCATTTTAGTTGGAGAAAGTGCCAAGGCTGTGAGGGTGGGGAGGGGGTCCCCTCCTTGGCAGAGAAAGGCAGCGGTGGGTTTACGGCATTCCTCTTTTCCGACATTTGTGGGACGGCAAGGGAGTCACTAATCCTTCAACATTGGAGGGAAAGTGGTCCATTTTAAAACGTGGAGAGATGTCTTTTCTGCTGTCAGAGGGGAATCCAAACAAAAGTTTTGCCAAAAAGGGAGGGAGAAGATTGGAAGAAGCGCCTCTGTGGGAGAAATGTTTTGTTTCTCCCACAGAGAAGTGTGAAAATGGAAAAGGCTAGAAAACTCGCGCCTTGAGTCTTATTGGTTCTCCCAACGAGAAGAAGCCCTCTAAATGGCTCTCTTGTCGTTGGCTTAACGCTTAAGTCAACCCCGTTGATTCAGTGGGTCTACCTGGGATTCCCAATAGGATGGAGTGAAGAGGAGAAACCTGGAAGCTTGGTATCAGTATTTTGAAACGAATATATTTCTAATACGGTGTGTTTAGGTGTGATTGTCATTTTCTTTAATAATAATAATAATAATAATAATAATAATAATAATAATAATAATAATAATAATAATAATAATGGGTTGCTGCGAGTTTATGGCCATGTTCCAGAAGCATTTTCTCCTGAAGTTTCGCCCACATCTAGGGCAGGCATCCTCAGAGGTTGTGAGGTCTGTTGGAAACTAGAAAAATGGGGATTATGTATCTGTGGAAATATATATAGTTGCTCTTGGAAAGTAGGAAAATTAGATAGATAGGTAGGTAGATAGATAGAGATAGAGATATATATCTTTGAAACTAGGAAGCATATATAGTGTGTGTGTGTAAAATGGGGTTTATGTATCTGTGGAAATATATATAGTTTCTTTTGGAAACTAGGAAAATTAGATAGATAGATAGATAGATAGATAGATAGATAGATAGATAGATAGATAGATAGATAGAGATAGAAGTATATATATATATATATATATATATATATATATATATATATATGAAACTAGGAAGTATATATATAGTGTGTGTGTGTATATATATATCTTGGAAACTAGGAATATATATATATATATATATATATATATATATATATATATATATAAGAAAAAAGGAATTTATATATATAGGAAACTAGGAAGTGTGTGTGTGTGTATGTATATATATATATATATATATATGAAACTAGGAATTTTATATATATAGGAACTATATATAGTGTTTATATATATATATATATATATATATATATTATAATATCCAGAAGTTAATGTGCCTAGTTTCCAAGAGACCTCACACCCTCTGAGGATGCCTGCCATAGATGTACGAGTGAGAGAATGCTCTGGAACATGGCCATACAGCCCGGAAAACTCACAGCAACCCAGTGATTCCGGCCATGAAAGACTTCGACAATACAATAATAATCTATATAAATAAAAATGTAATGTTCGTTTGTGGGATTAACATAACTCAAAAACCACTGGACGAATTGACACCAAATTTGGACACAATACACCTATCAGGCCAACGAGTGACCATCACACATAAAAACACTGAAAAATACAGCAGAAGAGACTTAAAAAAACAAAAAACAAAAAAAACATACA